AAAAAAGAAAATGTAGTACATGTACACCATGGAATACTATGCAGCCATAAAAAAGAATAAGATCATGTCTTTTGCAGGAATATAGATAAAGCTGGAGGCTACTATTCTTAACAAACTAGTGCGGGAAAAGAAACCTAAACACCATATATTCCTACTTGCAAGTGGGAGCTAATTGATGAGAATTCATGAACACAAAGAAGGAAATATCAGACACTGGAGCTTATTTGAGGGAGTCCAGCAGAAAAAATAACTTTTGGATACTAGGCTTAGTACCTGCGTGATGAAATAATCTGTACAACAAACCCCATAATACAAGTTTACCTATATAAGAAACTGCACATGTACTGCCATCCCTAAAAGCATTTTTTTAATTAAATAAGAAATAATAAAAAACAAAAAAAAAATTAAATTAAGATTTTTAAAATGGATGGATGTCCATTAAAATTAGAAAAATACTTGGAATAAGTGTGAATGTGTCCTTTTTAATGTAACTACTAAATAAAATATAATGAATAGACAAGTACATCTCCCTTTCTTTCGTGGAGGCTCCATGTTCAAAGCAATTGCTTTTATAATTCCAGCTGTCTAAAACTATTTCCCTCTGCTTTGAATATTTATAAGTTTTTTTTAAAGTTAGTGTCAGCAAATTAATTAAACTTATACTTCTATACTGGGACATATTTAAATTACTGAGCATAGTATTGCTGCTGCTTCTTTTTCAGTTTAAAATGTATGACTTGGCATTTTAAAGTAAAAATTATGAAGTTATTTGTGGGGAAACTAAAAAAGTTTCACAACTGACTGAAATAAAACATGAGACGAGTTTAGTGGGGGAATTGGAATCTCCAAAAGACTAACATTTTTCTGTGGAAGACAGTGTGGTGATTCCTCAAGGACCTAGAAATAGAAATTCCATTTGACTCAGCAATCCCATTACTGGGTATATATCCAAAGGATTATAAATCATTCTACTATAAGGACATGTGCACACGAACGTTCATTACAGCACAGTTTACAATAGCAAAGACCTGGAACCAACCCAAATGTCCATCAATGATAGACTGGACAGGGAAAATGTGGCACATATACACCATGGAATATTATGCAGCCATCAAAAATGATGAATTCATGTCATTTGTAGGGACATTGATGAACCGGGAAACCATCATTCTCAGCAAACTGACACAAGAGCAGAAAATCAAACACTGCATGGTCTCACTCATAGGTGGATGTTGAACAATGAGAACACATGGACACAGGGCGGGGAGCACTACACACTGGGGTCTGTTGCAGGAAAATAGGGGAGGGACAACAGGGGGTGGGGAGTTAGGGAGAGATAGCATGGGGAGAAATGCCAGGTATAGGTGATGGGGAGGAAGGCAGCAAATCACACTGCCACATGCGTACCTATGCAACAATCTTGCATGTTCTTCACATGTACCCCAAAACCTAAAATGCAATAAAAAAAAGACGAACATTTTTCTTCTACTTTTAACAATCGAAATGCCCTGTTCTAGTCCCTATGAATTTTCATTGCATACTATGCCAGATTATAAAATACTTACTTTTAAAATGAATACTTCCTTTTAAAATGAATTTGTTATATATATTAACTTTCTTATCAATCATCTTGTAATGCAATTAAAATTAGAGTTGTTTGGTTTGAAAACAACACTGACAGCCTCAAGATAAATCTTAAGACTTATTTAGCTTTGTGGGTGGTGTTTTCATGCAAATAAGTAAAAGTTAGTTTTATACTTTGTAGAAGTTTTTGGTCCTATTTTAATACTCTTTGTGTGGCAGCATGTACATAGTCTGCTATTGATCAAGAATCTCTCATTAAAAACTTTGAAGTTAATACTTTGTGCAACTGTGTTTTGAATGAAGCAATGACAGTATTAAAAACAAACAAAGCCTGGTGCAGTGGCTCATGCCTATAATCCCACCACTTTGGGAGGCTGAGGCAGGTGGAGCATGAGGCCAGGAGTTCAAGACCAGCCTGGCCAACATAGTGAAACCCCATATCCACTAAAGATACAAAAAATTAGCCGAGTGTGGTGGTGCGCACCTGTATTCCCAGCTACTTGGGAGGCTGAGGCAGGAGAAGCCCTTGAACCCAGGAGGCGGAGGTTGCAGTGTGCCAACATTGTGTCATTGCACTCCAGCTGGGGTGACAATGTGAGACTCTGTCTCAAAAATAAATACATAAATATAAATAAAAACAAACAAAAATTTACTAATGTTGATTATTCTTCTATCGTTTCTGGTCCTTGCTCTGTGCATGTTTGTGACTGCTGTAATTTCAGGTTTTGAAAGTGAATGGCTTCAAATAAATTGAAGATTTATTATTTTTAAAAAATACTATTATTAAACAAATGAGTGCTGTTCCATGTAGAATGTAAAATTATGACACATATGATAAGAGAAGAACAGAGAATTTGACCTGATGAGTCAGGATACTCATTTTGTGGGTAGACTGTAAGCCACTTCAGCTGTTTATTAAGAGAAAAACACCTAACACATTGCTTAGGCATATTCTAAATACCATTTAAAACACTTCAGCCCATAGGTTATTGACATTATACTCACTCTGAAGCTCAAGTTATTAATTTAATGGAATTTGTTTTTGTAGCTGGATTTAAAAGTCTTTATTTACCCCAATTTTTACCTTATGAATAACATAAGCAAATAGGATATCTTAAGCAAAACCGATGCCTAAAGCAAAAATTAATAGAAAACTAGGATGATATAGACCATAGCAACAATACATAGCAGCCTAGAATCCAGTCAGTGATAGGACAAACAGCCTCATGTGTTAAATAAAGCCTGCAAGGATTCAATATTATTTATAAACAGATTGCCAAAGATTAAGGCCACACATGGACAAGGAAAAAATATCGTGTTTTTCTTATGATGTTAAAGTAGAAGACAAGGCATTTTGAAATCAACCAACAAAATACTGATAATGTTGAGGCAATGGCAAATATCTTTAAACATTTGAAGATCTTCAATATGTGTGACATTATATTTTTCTAAGTTATTACAAGTTTTTTAAAAAAATTGATAAATTGATGGCAATTAAGGTCAAATTTGGGTCAATATAAGATGTTAATATAATCTAGAACTGCCTAACAATGGATTGTAAACTACCTGGTATGAAGAAATTTTCATTAATATGTAGAGGCCAAAAATAACTCTTTAATTTGCAATCCACAGTGCTAGAAGAGATTTTTATTTGAAATATAAACTCTTAATTTCTATGAAGTATTTTTCAATCTTTCATTCTATGTTCGAAAGTGTCTAATTTTTGAAAGAATATGTAAATTTCTCTCCAAAATAGTAAATCACATTGATGTAAAAATATAGCAAAATTGAACACATTTTTAAAAACACCACAGAAATGAGGTTTTTGTAGAATTCATTTATAACTAATTTTGTTAAATCAGGCCAGATTGGCTGCTTTATACAACTACACGCACACTAACAAACTCTACAGACACATGCTCTTTGTGTTTTCAAATCACTTGAAGTGGCAAAAGTGTCTTCCCTTCTCAGATTAGAACAGAAAACAAAAGATAATGGCCATAACTGTTGTTCTTTGTAGGCAAATATCATATTCAAGCTGTAAAATTAAGAATGTGAGTTTAGCATCCCTGTCAATGATCAAATTGCTGTCTGCTTTGGACTATAAATCATTTTAGTGTTTTTAAAGTCAATGTAACTATAGTATGAAATGCAGAAACGTGAAGATATTAAAATATTTAGTTATTATAAAATACTCCACAAGTAGATTCAATAGAATGTTAACAATAAAAACAAAAACAGCATTAAATATTTATATATTCACAGCTGCAGATCTTGTTTCTTCCAGTAAAATTTTACTATTCTAAGAATGTGGCTATATAAAAATGAGAATTAAATTAAAATGGAAAGATTTTGTATTTTCTTTAACTAAAATATATATGAATATTATTTTTATACTCATCAAAAAATTGTTAAAGGATTTAATTTGATGTCCCTTCCTTCCCAAAGGCTTATCATCAAATTTTACTCGAGTAAAAAGAAAAAATGTGTCATTGGTGTTAGCAACAATTTGAAGGTCATAATAATTTCTGAAGGTCAATTTGTTGAACCATAGTTCAGTGCTTTTGCTGTATGCTGGGGTGAACTGGGTGTTTTGCTGCAGCCTATTTTATTTAGGAGTTAACTTGTAAATAATCAAGAAACTTCACAAAGACTTCTAAGTTCCACTTTCCTAATCCAAAGGTGTGATAGAGTGCAGTCAACCATGCTGATTCAACTTGGAAGAAGTTATTATCACATAGAAAACATGATGGTCGGCTGAAAGGTGCTGGAACTTTAAAAGCATCAAATATTCAACTAAATACTATATGCACTTTTCCATTAGTGTGTTTTCTCAAAATGGATCATTTGTGCCCAACAGTTGAGTCTTTCTGGTCAGAGGCATCTTTTATTTTCTTAGTGTTAAGAAAATAAAACAATAACTATTTCCCAAATTTTATATCATTCCTATGTAATTAGCCATGTATTACATTTTTGCCGTTTTTCTTCCTATGGAATCTGTCTACAGACTTTTCTGACAGAGAAGCTTAAGGCTAATACAGCTTAAGTCTGTATTAAGCTGACTGCCTGGCCTTTCTACCTTGGGGAATCCAGGACTGATTTATAAACAATGAAACTAATGCAGTTTGGCAGAGAAATGGGATCACAAAATTAAAAATTGGCAAAAAAAAAAAAAAGAAAGATTAGGAGTTAACACACTGTTGATGTTGAGTTCTTATATTTGCATATTAAAAGAGGGTCTGTTCTTTCATCTTTCCTTAGAGACATAGAGCTTTTTATTATCATTTACATTTATAGCAAAGAGCTCAGAGGGCTCATAGGTCCGCTGGAGACTTTTTAGTTTGTTCTTAAAGTTCAGATGGCATTTCTGCTATAAAACGGCACCCCGAATAAGCTCAAAAAGTATTCTGGGTGTTAACATGCAAATGAGAAAAACAATCATAACTCTCTGCTATGTTAATTCTTCCCAGAGTATTTCTTTACAAAGGCTATTTCTGAGGTGCTACAACAACCACAAGTGAGACTGACCATGAGAACTGCAAGATTATAAAACTCTGTGAATGCACAGAACTAAACTTTAGAAGATTCCAGTTTATCTTGTTCTATGTACAGATGACTGAAAATGTTCTGATCGCATTAGCGATGTATAGACCAAGACAAGGCAGATACTGAAGCAAGAAGAAATTAAACTTTTATTACAAAATAGGCTACAAATTACCTTTAGGTGACTAGTATTGTATACTCGAGGGAGAAAGTTGATATAGTGGACTATCAAGACTTTCTGGCATGTCCTATTCTAAAACGGAAGAACAAATCTCATAGCAAGAACTATTCCTTCCAATAATTTGTGAATTCATCATCTTTTAGCATCTCCAGGACTTTATTTGCTGAGGAGCTTTAAATAGTATACTATGCACATTTGGAAAAATGGGAAAAATATTTTAAATAAGGTCCACTTAGAAGCCATTTGCTTTATTAGATAATTGAATTTACTATAAATTTTAAAGGCATGTTGTATATTTTTCTCCCATGATGCCAATTCTTAGTCTTTTCAGTTAATTATTACTTTTACGATTCAGAAAGTGATAATATGAAATTTCTTCTAGTTCCTAGTAGTTTAGCTTACAGTTTAGAGAACAGAGAGAGAAAATAATTATTCTCATTTGCTTCTAAACCAGTTTTGCCCTTAAGGTTCCAACATCATTAGGGCCTAAGAATAACAGAGAGCAGGAAAAAATAGAGAGAGAGAGAGAGAAGGAAAAGGAAGATAGAGACGGAAGAAAAGGAACAGGAAAAGAAGTAGAATCAGGGTTGCAAAAAGGAGAACGTGTTAAAGAAGAAAATTGGAACACTTTATATTCCTATATTTTATGTCTATTTTTGATTATTATTGTGATACTATTCATGAAGCAGCTTTTATATTATACCTCTAGCCATATTTCAATGTACTCAGTACACTGGTCCTAATCTACATATTCACACACTGACCATGATAATCCTGTATTATTACGTTACTATAGTCAAGTTGTTACTAAACTGTCCACTTACCTGGTACAGTAAAGCAAACACTGACACTGAGGTTTGCAGTGAGAGAAAGAAGGGTGTTTATTGCAGGGTGGCAAACAAGGAGAACGTGCAGTTAATGCCTAAGATATGAAGTTCCTTGATGGGTAACAAGCAAGGATTTTTAAAGGCAGGGGTACATTTTAGGAAAGTAGAAGTTATGGGCAAAATGGTAAATCAATACATGAAGGTTACACATTGGTTTGGTCCTAAAAGGTGGGATGCCTTAAAGCAAAGGCTTACAAGCCATAGGAAAATTCTGGGATTCTTTGATTTGCAATTGGTTAAGGGATTAAGTCTTTGTCTAAAAACCTGGAGTTAGCAGAAAGGCGTATTAAGGTTTGGCTTTAACATATGTTAATTAAGATAAGGAAACCTGTTAATTATCATGTGGTGCTATCACAGAGTCAGGTCAAGAGACCAAGCCACAATATACTGAGCCATTGTGACCAATTTAGCAAAATTGATGGCCAGCCTGCATGACTCTTTCCAGGCCCCTTTGCTCAAGCTAGAACAAAGGCCCCTCAGAGGTCTTTGCAACAATGGTCAGAATTCAGTCCTCAGTTCCCTCTTGTCTCAAGTCTGCTTGACAGTGGTTCATATTTTCCATCTAGTAGGGGTTCTGGTTTCTGAAAAACAGTTTAAGAACATATATAAAGATGTTGGGCCAGGCATGGGAGCTCAAATCTCTAATCCCAGTGCTTTGGGAGGCTAATAGAGGAGAATCTCATGGGGCCAAGATTTTCAGACAAACTTGGGCAACACTGTGAGACCCTATCTCTGCCAGAAATAAAAAAGCCAGGCCTGGTGGCACATGCCTGTAGTCCTTGCTACTTAGG